GACTGCTCTCCTTGCTGTCTCAGAGCAACTAGAGCTAGAGCTCCTCTCTCTCCTCTGTCCTCGTCCTTCTGGACCTCTCTGCTGCATTTGACACGGTCAACCACCAGATCCTTATTTCCTCCCTTCAGGTCCTTGGTGTCACAGGCTCTGCTCTCTCCCTTCTCTCGTCCTACCTCGACGGCCGCACCTACCGGGTAACCTGGAGAGGATCTGTGTCTCTTGTCCTCTTACTACGGGAGTTCCTCAGGGTTCCGTCCTGGGTCCCCTCTTCTTCTCGCTCTACACAAACTCTCTCGGCGCTGTCATTCGCTCGCATGGCTTCTCTTACCACAGCTATGCCGATGACACCCAACTAATTCTCTCCTTCCCTCACTTGGACGCCCAGGTGGCGACACGGATCTCTGCCTGTCTGACTGACATCTCTCAGTGGATGTCCGCCCACCATCTGAAACCCACTTTACATTTTGGCAGGATGTTATCTGTACAGTAAATAAATGAATTAAATTACTATGAATTGTGTTTAATTCTTATTGCAGTTATTAATCTCACATACTAATGTATTAGCTCATAACTAATAACACACAAACTGCGATTCTATGAACATCAATCATTATCACACATATTAGAATTTCCTACGCTACGTGTACTCTTCTGCTTAAATCCCTAACGTACGTACTGATCTCAGAGCGGCATGGACCCGCCTTCTCGTTCATATGAACATTTCATGCAAATAAGTATCTTTTACAACCTGTGATGCCGTGAATGCTTTTTCCACTCCACAGCGTCTTAAATGGCTTTAGAAATGAAGATAAAGGGATCTGTATTTGCTTATATATCCTGAAACCGTTAATGTGGTAAATGTTTTGTTAACCAACTGCAGCCAGTCTGACCAATCAATGGTCTATTAATGGGCCTGTGCGAGGTCTGACTTCCAGATTTAGAATCTTTCACTAAATGATCCAAGTTCTTCTACCATGTGAATACAGATCACATGCTTTATTTACAAGTTAAGTGTTTAATTACCCATCTGTATCATATGCTATGCACACAATTTAAACAATTCAAAGCCTTTTTTTACCTTTTCAAGTTCTCTAGATGTCTAATTAAATATAGTTGACTGAACTTGGCTTCAATGATTACATGTTAGCTTATGTGTTTTGGCAATATACAAATGAGTGGTTCTTAAGCAATTTGACAAATCAAATTCACTAAACTGAAGTTGAAGGCAGCAGCCCTGTGGGGATTCTGTGCTAAATGTGAGCTTAATAGAAACCTGTTGTCACGGTGTGGTTTTATTTCCTGTCTTATTTTGTAGTTTCTGCTTCTTGTCTCCCTGGGTAACTTCACTTCCTGCCTTGTCCTGTCATCCCCTGTGATTGTCTGATTGTTTCCACCTGTGTCCAATCACGTGCACCTCCTGTCGGGATCTCCGATCCCCCCGAGTTGGTTGATGAGAAGGATCCACCACGTTGATCAGTTAAAGTCAAAAAGTTAACATTTATTTAGAAGAGAAAAACATTACATGAACAATTCTCCGCAGATATCTGGCTCTAACTATTGCTTGCAAGCAGGAGGTCCAACACACACGCACGTATCTCAGCGCTCTTTGTAATGGCGACTCCGAGCAGTAAAAACGCTTAGTTTATATACACATGAAGACCAACGTCAGTGCCAGTTTACGAGAAGCCACAAATCAAGTTGAGATAAGAACTCAGGTGAAGATGAGGGTAACACACGATGCTCCTTTGATCGAGGGTCTGTAAGAGCAAGTTAACTCCCTTCTCCAGAAACACTCTAAAAAATGTGACCAATGGTAACGTAAAAAAATTGTGGCAACAAAGTGACAATTATTATAATTGATTAGAATTTACTTACTCAACATTTAAGCAAATATTATTGAAAGAAATAATTAAATCTAAAATATTTTACAAGCAAAAATGATTCATGTCTAGAAAATAATCATAATACATTTATATTTACTTAATTTTTGGATGAAATTTATTTATAATTACTAAATATTTGGATGAATATGATTTACATTTACTGAATATTTAATTGAAATTGATTTACAGTTACTGAATATCTTGGTGGAATTGATTTATATTTACTTAATATTCTGGTGTAATTGATTTACAGTTACTGAATATTTGGGTGGAATTAATTTATATTTACTTCATATTCGGGTGGAATTGATTAGCAGTTATTGAATATTTGGGTGGAATTGATTTAGTTACTGAATATTTGGGTGTAATTGATTAGCAGTTACTGAATATTTGGGTGGAATGTATGTATATTTACTGAAATTGAGTGTTATATACTACTAATCTTGGTAAAATTAAATTTGATTTACTGAATAAAATAAGTTATATCAACTCACATTTTAGCACATTGTTAGTTAATTCAACACATTACCATTGCCCTTCTGGACTTAAATTAATTGTTTAAATCTATTCAATACAATTACGTGTCACTTTGTTGCCACAATTTTTCTATGTCTAGATCACTTAACTTAACTTTACAAACACATCATCATACATAAGTACAGCAGGTTAAACTTTATTTGTGCCAATTTCTATAAATACATACAGGAAAAGCTGCATTAAATGAGCATGGTTTATATACATTTGAACAACACAAATAAAGCAGCATTAACACTAGATAGCAACACTAAAACTAAACTCCAGGAAAGAGCCAAACCTAAACTTCTCAATGTGAATCTTAAAAATATAATTAAAATGCATTGAACAAACAGTAACCACACTGGAGAGTTCTAACAGTAACAACAATCCCCTTTTTTTCTTCAGGGGTCAAAGGTTTGAACAGTTCAGCTCCAAAAAACTTGGAACACCTTAAATGTGTTTAAGTTTCTTTGAATGTGAAAGATTGACTGCACACGCAAACCCAACCAGCAGACAGAAAGCCCTTGGAAAGTCCCTCGGTGCAGTCAGAACTTTTACTCCGTCCAACACGATACCGACGTCTGGACTCTCCGACGTGTTCGTCTTGTTCCTGTAGATTTTCATCTTTTGTATTGCAAGATCCTGTGAAACAGCGTCTTCACCAGCATCCTGAAATAGCAAGAAGATTGAGTATTACGCACTGTACATCCAAAAGATTAGGTCCCAATTAAACATCCACCAAATTACTTCTACGTTCACAAAAATCTTATTCTACATTCACTGGCTGGTCATATGTCAACTGATCTCTATATGGTAGTATAAACTCATTCCTGGAGCTCTAAGTCACCCAATCCAATGAAACTACGTTAAAATGACTCTTGGCTGCTTTGTCAATGGCTCTGAATTCAGACAGCTCGTGTAATCAGATTGAAATGGCGAGCATTTAGTCTCCATGTCGGCAGTAGTATTGAAAAAAATCTGTCATAGAATACAAAAATGTGCGCATATACCCAGAGGACAATAAATATTTAATTTAATCGGAATTATTATTAATGAAACTGTAACCCTGCGGCGTTTGCCACAACTTACTAGTAGAAATAACGTTATGATTGTATGTTGTGATTTGACCATTCCGAGACGTGACGGGTAGAAGGGATGAAGGGATGAGAGAGATACATCACTATCTTTAAATGTCAACAGTGCTTCAACTTACATCACACTCTTTATGAGTTGACCCATCGACTCCACGAGGTCGACCCTGAATGACAGCATCTCTGGTCGTGCTCGAGATGCTGGATGTCTGAAATGAAAATAACAAACATTATGAGTTAAACTTATCCACTCCAATCCTAAATTCCACAAATCCAGCTGTGACTCCAGGAAGTCTTCATAAACTCCCACAAAACCACAACATTTTACAACTTGATTTTTGTACGATTAAGACACACCACGTTAATAGTGAGCTCACAATGAGGTCATTCACAGTAAAACGTCATTGTAACATTCAAAATTTGAATAATGATGTACCTGAAAAAGTGTCACCTTTATGGAAAGTAAAATGCATGCAGTTAGATGACACTTTCTCTGGAGAGTAAATCCAACGTAAACATTGCCTCTGGCAGATGTAAGTGATATTCAATTTTTTTAAATTATAAAGTAAAACATTTGCAAACATAATAATGAAGGAAACCTTGATGCCTTCAGCCTTCAGCCTTCAGCCTTCAGCCTCAGCTCCACGGCTGCACTGAGTGGAAGAGGTTGAGAAGATTGAGAGTGGGTTCCTCCTGCTCGGACATGAACTCTGATTCAAGCTGCACGTTGAGATTCAGGGAAACTCGTCCTGGATCTGGTGGTTACATCACGTAAAGAGCAGGGCATTTTCCTGCATATTAAACTTTACTCATAAAATATAATTAAAGCAAAATAGATCATTCTGACGCTCCCCTCCACTCCATCATGTCAGTTTGCATTATTTCTCGTTTGCACACACATGAAAATTCCCGAAACGCTCTGAAAAACTCCTGAACGCATTATATTTGATCTTATTCCTCGTGCACTGTTGTCTTGTTCACTGTCTGCTGTCACGCACCAACCGCCAAGTCACATTCCTTATGTCTGACATATTATGGCAATAATATATATATATATATTATGGAATATTATGCCAATAAATGTTTCCTGATGAAAGATAATCAGTGATATTGAAGGAATTGAATAGATCTCAACAAGCTGATTTTCTGAGTTCAAAGGGTGGTTGTAAAGATTGAAGAAGAAGAAGGATTTGAAATTTGAAGAACCTTTTTTCAATTATTTAGAATATTGATTTATATAATTCAAGAGGTAAAGTCCTGAATGTTGATAGCTGAACGGGTTTAATAGCTGATGATTTGGAGGAGCTGGAATGTGGCGTGGGAGAAACATGTGTATGAATATGAAGGAGTTGAATAACGATGTGAAGAGCAATAGTTCTTGAACAGCATTCCAACTATTGCTCTTAAACTCCGGAGGTGAGGCGGCTGCACTGCGGCGGCTCGCTGTCGTCATCACGCTGTCAGCCGGTGGGGGTGACGCGTCAGCATCCCTCCCCCCTCCATCACTTCCTCTCTCGGATGCTGCGACCGAGCTCCTGTGCGGGCGGCTCTGTCAGTGGCTGAACCCCTCCTCCTCCTCCGAAGATGTCGCATGAGCTTCTCCTCTCAGCGCGGCGTCTCTTTTCGTTTTTCCTTTTCTTTTTCTCGCAGTGCCCTTAACAGTTAACCTGATTCTGCCATATTAGCAGCTAGCCCATCGTCTGGCGCGCGGACTGCCCCCCCCCCCCCTGCAACGGAGGTGTTTAAAACCCCAACCCGGCGCATCCTCTCCCTGTCTGTCTCCCTGTCTCCCTGTCTCCCTGTCTCTCTGTCTCCCTGTCTCCCCGCCAGCCGACCGTCGGGTGCCGGAGCGGAGCATCCATCGGCGCCGTCGTCGTCTCTCATCCCTGCGCGTCTGCGACCGCCTTCTGCGACCCCCTCCCGCCCCCCCGCCCGACCCACAGCCGCTCTCCTCCGGCTCGGGACGTTCTCCGCTCCACGCGCACGCAGATTAAAGGGGATTCTGCCTCCCCGCTCGCGCGCGGATGTCCTTGAGCTCGGCCTGCACGGTGAGTCCGTGCGCGCCCGCGTGCGTCACTGCCCTCTACCCGTGATTCTGTGCGTGGAGACGCGCCGCGATGCGTCGGTAGCATGTAGCACGGACCAGCGGGAAAGTGGGCCGAATGTGGCACGTCTCAGCACAGGCCGCACTCCGCTGTCATCATTCTGCTGGCATGCATCATGAGGGAGAATGCGTGTGTGCGCGTGTGCGCGCGTGAATGCGCGTGTGTGTAGCCACGGATCTCCACCCATCCCTCCACCCATCGGTGCGTGTCCCGTGTCCGCGGATGGAGGCTGCCGCTCTCCTCGCCAGTGTGCGCCGGGCTGCGCCGTTGTTGTTTGTCCCGGTTACGGCCCCGTCGCACCTGCAGCGCTGAGCAGCGGGGGGGTCGATTCGATGTGGTAACGATCCGCGGCCGGGGGACCCGCTCCGGGTGGGGTTGAGTTGGGCCGGCCCGGTAACCTTGCGCAGGGACACGGGGGAGGCGTGTGGCGCACCATCGGTCGCTCTCTCGCTCTTGGATTGGTTGCAGGAGGCCTACTGGAGGTCCTCGGCACGGATCGGGACCCCCTCCCGTTGTTATGACGATGAGCACGGGGACGATGCTCGTGCACGTCTGAAGGTGACCAGGAAAGGTCGTTTAGTGCGGGAAGCACTGTTTCAATGGCCATTCCTGCACCATAGTGGGCAGTGCTTGCACATGCCCGCATGGTGTGTGTGTGTGTGTGTGTGTGTGTGTGTGTGTGTGTGTGTGTGTGTGTGTGTGTGTGTGTGTGTGTGTGTGTGTGTGGATAGGGGCTCATGTGGAGCTGACATGTGTGAGCCCCCTGCACGTGTGTGAAATATACACTTTGAGTGGGACTTTGTTTCCTCCTCTTGTTCTGTTCCAATTACCTTCCTCTCCCTCTGCCGAGCTGTCACCATCATCGTCCTCGTCGGCTTTATGCTCCACTGTGAATGCAGATATCTGGGTCCTGTCGGCTACACACTTTTTTGTGTGTTACTCCCGCTGGGCATTCACAGAAGTGTGCGGCCGGCGCCCGTCAGCAACGGCAGGCCGCAGCCCGATGAAAGTGCCCCCGCCAGAGGTGACTCTCACAGGGTGGGCAGAATACCGACGAGTTGACACGCACCAATGTTGTGCATATAGAGCGCTGACAAGAACGCACACTCACTTGTACGGTCACATGTTGTGTGCAGCCTGGTTGCCCCGTCCAGGTCAGACAGCCAAAGCCTCACAACCACATCCTGTGAGGGGTCTCTTGTCCCCCCCACTGTGTACTCTCCTCCACTTTTTGACTCTTTTCTTGTTCAAACACATTTTCAGCAAGTAGCCCTCTTGTTCTGAAAGCCCTGTGTGTGTGTGTGTGTGTGTGTGTGTGTGTTGCTGTCTTTTTGTGTACTGCCATTGCTTGTATCTTGCGGCTAAACTGTAACCAATTGTGTAGCAAAATTATCTTTTGCAATGGATGTAATGCAGGCAGACATGTGCACGCACACGTGCGCTGTAGAGCTGTGAGACAAACACAGACACACAGTCAGAGGTTTTTGTTTGTTGTTTCTTTCTTGCATGAGCGAGTAAGAGGAAGAAAGTGTACGACTGGCTGAGTAAATACATGATCGCAGTAGCAGGAAGCAAATAGAGACGGTAGCGACAAAATGAGGGAGTCAGGAGGGAGAAAGCGGATCGTAAAATAACAACAAGCGATGAGACAAACCAAGAAAAGCATTCAAAGAACAAACCAACAGACTTTAAACCTGATAAAGTGCACAGAGAGACACCCAGATGAAGATCAGAGAAGATGGAGCGAGAGGAATCTTCAAAGGAAGAGCAGGGTGACTCAGTCCTACACTAACACTCTCCGTCAGGATGGAGGCGAGGCAGGGCGGAGAGGAAGAGAGGGAGAGGAGGGAGGAATTACTGAGAGACTCTGTGCTTTTTTTTAATGCTCGTGCAGAATACAGCCGTGCATTTGGACCATGTTGTGTCTTGTGTGACGCTGAGGGTGTTCGGTTACACGCAGAGCTAATTGCTCATTGGGGGGGGGGGGCTTCTTGCTCTGGGGCAACAGTGCTGACCACTGGTGCAAATACCACCGTGATGCTCTAAGAAGACAGTGACAGGATAGGGAGGTGAAGGACGGAACACCACTTTTAATTTCTTGACAAGAATCACATACAGTTGATATCACATGAGAACAGGTACTTAGTGGATGAAAGCGAAAGCCTTTCATTGGCTGTAATTGTTGTGCAGGCAGCGCTAATGTTTAGTCAGGAGTTGGTGGAGTGACTGTTGTCCCACATTGTCAGCTGGATGTGTAAGCGTGTCCCGGTTGGCCCTGTCCTGTGTTCACAGGGCAAATCAACGTGTGCAGCTTTGAACACGGCACGGATCAACCCGCAGGTGAACACATGAGGGCGGGTGCAGTGAATGTCTATAGATCCGGCGCTCTGTGTGCGTGTCCTCCCTGCTTCTCCAGAAGCGTCCACGCCACTTCACTCAGCAGGTGCATTGCTGGGGACATAAAGACGTGCAGTGTTTATACAGTGACACACATTACTGCGTTTGAAATGGATCAGCGGCCTTTCTGTGCACCAGATGGGGGGGGGGGGGCTCTTTGGAATGAGTCAGCTGACCTTTGCAGGTCGGGGCTCATTGCACTTCACTTTTGCTGCTGGATGCCGACTCATTACAAACCCACAACCCATCACATTACATGTTCACTTGTGGTGTGCAAGCGTGGATTATAATAACATGCGTGTGTGTACCTCATGAACGTATAGTTACCAAGTGTCTTTATTTGATTGATGACCTATCGTTCTTCAGCCTCAGCCTAATGATGGTGTCCTTCCCTCTCTTAGGCCCTGGCGGTGCAGCAATAGCTACCTCTGAACTGGATCCACTTACCGTTTATCGGCCGCCTTTCCCTTGCTTGCCCCTCTCTCCATCTGCCCATCGCCCCTGTGCCGCCTTCTGTAAGTCTGTCGGCCCGTCCGTCCATCTGTCCATGGACTGGCCGTGACCCTGGAGGGAGGGGGTCAGAAACGAGGAGAGAACAGAGTCGCAGAGGAGTCGCAGGACAAGAAAGCTGGATTCATTCAGACCTTCTGGAGTGCCCCTGCTTGCTGTCCTTGATGCCCCTCACCCTCCTTCTCCTCCTCCGGTTATGGAGAAGTAAAGGAGCAGTGGGAGGCTAGGCCCAGATCAAGAGAAGAACTAGACTCAACCAATTCCCCTTCATCGCCCTTCAATGAAATTAAAAAAGGGTTTAGGTGTTGCTATGATTTTTAAATAAGAGATCAAGACTGAGTCAAGATTTTCGGTGTTAAACACATGAACAACCGTCCAGCACCTAAACGGCCGGGCAACTGAGTTCAGGAGAGACTCCAGAGGAGGAACATAAGAGAAGAAGTACGACTTACTGACATGTCAACAACTGCCACTATGGGTGAATTGGCAAACAGCGCGGTGGAGTTTTACCCCAAAGGGACGCGAGCTGTGGGCGGAGGAGGAAGGGCTGACGGCGCCAACGCAGGGGGAGAATTTGGGGTCACGGTGACGGAGCTCACGGAGCTAATGGAGCTCCGAGGGACCGATGCCCTGCAGAAGATCCAGGAGAGCTACGGGGACACAGAGGGGCTCTGCCAGAGACTACAGTCCAGCACCACTGATGGTGAGTACGCATGGATGGAAGAATGGGCGACGTGTGAAAACAGCAGGTTGGTTGATGGGTGGATGACGGAGGAGGAGATGGCTGGCTCAATGAATGCATAACTAGAGGAGGAGATGGTAGGTTGGGACTGCAGACTGTAATGGCTGCAATGGACTCCACCATGAACTGGTTGGTGATGATGTGATTTTAACGGTTTAATGATGAATGGATGGAGGTCTATAAAGCCGGCACGGGTAGACGAGGTTCTCGAGTAGCACACCTGTAGTGTCGGCGTACGACGGGTCCGTGGACAGGACTGACGAAGGTTTGTCAGTAAACTTCACTAGCCAGCGCCGGGCAGCCAGAACCGGCACAAGCTCCCGCAGGCAGACCTTCAGGTAGCGGTCGTAGCAACTCAAATTGAGCCCCGTCCGACCCACCAGGGTCACAGCGGGCCGGCGATCAGCTCGTCCCAGACCGCCGGGTCCGCAAACCTTGTTGTTGCTGCCCGTTCATGCTGCTACAGCTTCCGACTGAAGGTCTCTTAACCGAGCCAGAGGCACATGTCTGAGAAAAGGTCGTTCATGCCTTTAGGTTTTTTCACCATGTCCCTTCCAGGGCTTTGTAATTAATTACGTTAATCTGATGAATATTTTTTGGATGGTCAACTTACCAATAAAGAATAATAGTTGGAGCAGGAATGATTGTTCTGTTAGTCAATGGACTGAAAATGACAAAGAGTCCGTTTTAATAATTCATGAATATGAAGTTGTTGATGGTAAACATTCTCCCGTCTTCATCTGCGTGTTTATTTCACAATTTAGAGCACAGTAAAATAACCAAATATGTTGATCTATAATCACAATAATTATCACTACAGGAGAAATAATAATGCCAATGTAATGTTTTAAGGACGACTCAGGGTACAATTTGGTTTCCTATGCTTATTGTGCGTGCCAACAAGGGTGTGTCACCACCCTACACCCACTCCTCCAACTAGTTTGTTGCCTAGCAACACAACAGCAGCAAAAAGTTGGCAAGTCAACAAGAGAGAGAAAGATGACTGAGAAGTGTGAGATGGTGAAGACCAGAGAGGGCCGAATGGAGAGAGCGAGTGTGTGTGTGTGTGTGTGTGTGTGTGTGTGTGTGTGTGTGTGTGTGTGTGTGTGTGTGTGTGTGTCGGTGACACAGATGGAGAAGAAGTGAGAGAGTTGGTGGGTGTTGAGTTACAGTAAGTCTGTGTTGAGTGTTGCTAATTTGATACTGCAAGCTGGTCCCAACAAACGCTGCATACACAAACACACACACACACACACACACACACACACAGACACACACACACACAGACACACACTGACGCTGCTCTGCGTTGGACAGGTTTCCTTTTCACTGTCCGACTCCCCAGGTTACACATCTGTGCACACGCCGATGTTTCCCACAACGTGGACACCTCGAACTTACTAAAACCAAAAATGTCCGATCATGCAAACAGTTTACAAGGAGAATGTAGACCGTGGAGTCGGTGACTGGGCCCAGATGCTGCAGATGTGGCTAATAAATAGATGAGCTTGCTGCTGGACCTTCGTCCTGCTCTTCCTCCTCGGCCTGCTGCTTCCAACCCAGAATTCAGCGTCCAGGGACCAGGGACAACGCATGTGCTGGGACATTGTCTTTTGTTTTCCGATGATGAATGTCAAGGTCACAGGCCTGCAAAAAGGCTCCTCTGACACCTGGAACCCAACTCAGGCCGACTTGAGTTAACTGGGGGGTTGGAGGGGTTTAGAAACCTACAAACAACAAAGTGAGCCAGCAGGCTGCTGTCCGGTCCACTAGTGAAACGAACTTGTGTTGTGTAGTTATGAAGCTTCCGTACTGATTTAAACCCAAACCACGTTTTCCCAAATCCCACGTTGGTTTACTGCCTTTCAGAGGAAGTGTTGAAAACTCAAGACAGGATCCCAGCTCTGTACCGACAGTATTGAAGATGATAGAACGCCAAATAGAAACCGAGTAGTCATTTGGTATTTATCACAAATAATGAAACGAATTGACCTTTGGAGTCAAAATCGTGGGCTTTGCTATGCGACAGCCTAAGCTGGACGTCCCGTCCTTTTCCTTCCATTGCTGGTTAAAGGTTCTGGTTCCGGTTTCATTGACCGCTCTTTCTCTTGTCGTCTCTCTTCCAGTCTGCAGTCGTTTATATGTCACTCAAGCTGTGGTTCTTATCAGAATACACGCGTACCTTCACGTGATGGGCGTACTCGGGGGTGAAGGAGTTACTGTCCCACTCACTACATCGCACGTATCGACCAGTCAGGGGTCTACTGACCCACGATGGACACATGGAGTAAAACGATACCGTCGTAACGTTCCAGGGTAGCTGCAGTTTGCTGGATGCTGATCTGAACTACGCAGCCTTAAGGGATGAATGTCAGCAGAGAAACAACCACGTGTAGTTTCACAAAGAAGTCAGAGACTTTTAAATATTTGAGTCCTCCAGATGTTTTTCTTCTTCTCCCTGAGCTTTTCAGCCGCACCGTTAAAGGGTTTACGTATTGGTGTCGTGCTGCCGCCTTCGTCTGAGAGCGAATGATGAAGTGTCGAGTAGGACAGAATAATGTAACACCTCAGTTGGACTGATGGAGGAGTTTAGATGTGTGAATACAGATGGCGAGGAGGAGCATTAATGTCCGTCAGTGGTCATTGACTTTGGATGTTTGACTAGAAGAGTAGAATAGTGTCGGCCCGGCGATGTCAGAGGGAGGGACGGGCGGTGATGGAGGCGGGCCGGCGTTGGACCGGTATCCCCAATGGCCGCCCGCCCCTGAACGCACGCGATTGGTTGTGGGCTGAAGCTGTGCATGTTAAAATAGAATGTAAACGTTCTTAAATATGTAACAGTCCAAAGTCCAGACACGCCGGCTCTGGGCCCGACCGTTGGAGTCCGCCGGCGTTGGTGCTGTGCAGCTTTGGAGCGTTTTTGATGTGAAACCGTACATTTATGAGACAAAACTAAACAGTTCCTTTATTATTGATGTCGGGCTTCTTTGAACTTGACCTCTTGTAACATAATCAGCTGTTAATCAAAGCGAAGGATTGTTTATCGGTACTCGTCATTGCATCAGTAAACCGCTAGTTGGCGGGTAGATGATTCGCTGTTACCAGACACGTTATGTCCTGTTAGACGTGAACACTGTCAATGAATTACAGCCCCCGTGGTGTCACCCTCCTCCCCCGCACTGTCCTCACGTTCTCTGTGCAGTTTGTACGCAGCATAAAAACCTGCTGAAACCCTGAGTTCAGAAGAACTCACCTCATGTTTGTGACAGCAGCGACACAGTCAGCAACGCGGCGCTAATGCACGAGATAAGTGAGCTCACGTCTTGACCATACATGGACGTACGTAACAGGACGGCACGGAGGACAGAGGGTGTCTTTAAAATAACTACAGGTATCTCCACCGTCCAGCAAGAACATTCCAAATTGAATCCCGCCAGGCCGCTACCCGGCTTCCCGGGTTCCTCTCCCTCTTCTTGTCCCCCCCTTGGTGAGAGGAGGCCGTGATGAGCGTGATGCCCCGGTAGGCGGTCGGCCTTTGGCTGGAATATACACGCCCGTCACTACTCTGCCCCTTGACCCTTTACAGTACATTTCCATTGTGGTTTAGCTGAAGGCCTCAAGATGACAGGGTGACCTCCACCCACCCATCCCCACCCATCCCCACCCACCACACTTTGCCCGCCATACACTCCTTCACCCACGAGAACCAAGTCAGAGCCTGAAAGGTCAGCTAATGTCCCCCGTCACGGTACCGTTATCTGTGAATGGGTTTAGGTTTTGTTGGGCCGGATACTGAAGGACACGGTGTCTGTGTGGAACTTCTTCTGATCTACAGACGCTGCTTCCTCTTGGTACGATTACATTGGGACTGATCACACAACATCGTGCCAATATATATGTATACATATACATATTTATATATATGTATACATATACATATATATATATATATACATATTTATATATATGTATACATATACATATTTATATATATATATATATATATATATATATACATATTTATATACATGTATATATATGAGAACGCAAATAGATATGACACACATACCAGGGGAACGTAACGGCTGCACAATGTGATGCATCGTGTGTAATGTGATACACAAAGCAGAGTGGGGTCTAAACAATCACACAATGAGATCTATCCCCATAGAACACACACACACACACACACACACACACGCACAAACACACACACACAGATGGAGTATATGACCATTACATCCACATTGAAGAGACAGAAACGAGGAGAAGGAAAAAGACGTACTGAGAGTGTGCGTGTGCGTGCGTGTGCGCGTGTGCGTGTGCGTGCGTGTGCGCGTGTGCGTGCGTGTGCGTGTGTGTGTGTGTGTGTGTGTGTGTGTGTGCGTGAGAGAAGGGGGAAGCTTCGACGGCTTGCCGCATTGTCAAGGACACATGAAGGAGAGGGGGACGGGGGACATGGAGGGTGGCAGGAGGACCCGGCTCACTGGGATTACTCAGCCTTTCTCTCTCCTGTGATCCCTGTCCAGCATCACGCTGCCACACATCTACACATCCACATGACTCCCTGCAGCAAACACACCGGACAACGCACAACGCAGGCAAACACGCAAAGACGTGGCCAACCAGACAGGCGTCCCCCCGCTCCCCAACAGCCAATCCTAAAATAGATAGAAAGCTCGGCTCCAAACCCGGCACACTGGAGGAATGACATCACCTGTTGCTGGGCAGAAACCTGTTGGAGACAAGAAGCCTGGACCTGATCTCGCGGTCACCATAGAAACTGAAGGACACAGTGGGTGACGGGTGGAGGACAGTGAGGATGAAGATGACAGCGTTGGGAGGGAATTAAGTGACGGTGGAATTAGTTGTCAATGTGTTGGGAACTATTTTAGAGAAGGACCGTCTTGTTGCTGCATGGAAACGTCTCCACACGTCTCTCTCAAATTAAACAAAACTATTTGTCCCTGTGTTTGCTTTAAGGGACATTTCTATACAGAAATAAACGACCACTCAGGCGACAGTATTTCCCTCCTCTATATTCTCCCTCCGTCTCTCTGTCCTCCTCCGTCTCTCTGTCCTCCTCCGTTCTTTCTGTCCTCCCCCCGTCTCTGTCCTCCTCCTCCGTCTCTCTGTCCTACTCCGTGCTATCCAGTACTCCCCTGTCTCTCTTTCATGAACCCGTATATGTCCTCCTCCCCCGCCTCTCTGTCCATGCGCCCCCTCTTTCTGATCCCCATCAGTCCCTGGCTTCATTACCAAACTCGTTCTAAGGTCAACCATATCTTTGTCCGACTCCCAAAAGTAAATATGGTCCACTAACAGAACATTATCCACACGCCGTTTTTACTCTCTAAGAAGAGAGAGATAACTACCGCATGCGAAATCAGGTGAGCGACAAGAGAG